CCCCAAAACCCCAAAACCCCAAAACCCCGTTAAGTCTGATTTTCAAATTTTACTGATTCTGTTATTAAATAAAAATTAAAGGGATTTAATTCTTATAGAAAATCAAGGATTACTAAGTATGTTACTTTTAGTGGATCCTAAGTTAAATTATAATAATTTTGCTAAAATGAAAGCCCCTAAAGTAAAGGAAGAGTCGGATGATGACTCTTATTCTACTATCATTAAGAACATCTTATATTTCTCATTTGGTTCTGCACTCTATTTCTATCTGTGTTCCCCAATCGCTCACTTTGTTTCAAAGCATTTTACAACTATTAACACTGGGGTAAACTTTATAGACAACATCTATTACAGATACTATGTTCATACAAAATTCCTTCCCCTTCAGTAATGGGCATACTATAGTATCATGCTTGCAACTGGCTTCATGTTCATTAACCTTGTCAACTTAAAGAACATCAGAGGAAATCCATTTTTAGGTTTCAATAATTCTTATTACCACTTCAAGTACACAATATTCCTCTCATTCGCACTCTTTCTTACCTCTGGAATAGTTGTTTTCAGATAATCACACGATCTAGCTTCTTATTGTGAGCATAATAGCTAGATTGATCCATTCATTGTTAACCCAGTTGACCCTAAATAAACTGATATTGATGTTCATGCTCCTTTATTCAAGATCTTTATGACCATTGAAAAGATGAATTACACTAGACCTTACAGCATTCTTGACAAGCCTGACTGCTACATCTACTCAGATGACGAGGTATTTGATTACAACTATCACATTTGGACTTTCGCTTTCCTCCTTGGCCTTCAGTTCACACATTTGCAAGTTGGATTCATGAAGAATTTTTCACTATCATGGGATATAATGAAAACATGGCCATTAATTTTGTGGCTAGTTTTTTTCAGCTTTATTGGATTTATGATTTACATCTTTACTTATCTGTTCTATCTTTATGCCCAAATCAATTTGCTTTACAACTATGTTGGATGTATTGGAATAATTGTAGGTGGTATTTGGCTCAGAGGAAAATAACTGGGACCTAAAGCAGTATTACACATCCATCACTACTTCATTGGAATAGTTTCATGCATGTTAATCTGTTACCAAAACACCTTTTTCACTGTTCTTCATGCCCTTTTCAGTGGAGTTATGATTGAAGGTGGTTGCAGATGGGGATTCGTTGGAATTTGGTCCTTGCCATAGGAAAACTCAATAAACACAGAGAATGCCAAAGTTATCTTAACTAGCCTCGCTCAGAGCAAAGCTAGACATGAAAATCACAAACTTTTAGCTGCAAAGAATTAACTTCCTATTGTTCAAGCTACTCCATAATCAAATATGGTTGATGAACAAAGAGTTGGATTGATTTAAGATTCTTCTAGTAATCAATCATTCAGCTATGAGTACGAGGATATAAAGGACTCAAACTAGCTAGCCTGATTTATCATCATTAAGCAAACTCATATTAAACAAACACCTCATAAAATTACTAATTTCAATAATAATGGAGAAAAATATTTTAAGTTGCATGTAGAATTTTTCAAATTTTCATTAGCGGGGTTTTGGGGTTTTGGGGTTTTGGGGTTTTGGGG